AATATCATTAAATATTTTAAACATACATAAATTTAAATATATAAGGTTTTAGTCCATTTTCAATGATTTCATTATAATTTTAGATTATTTAAATGCATTGATATTTTCATATATACTAATTATATGTATATAATATGTTTTAAATTAATTATTGTATCACCAGTCTGACCAAACGGTCCGACCGATCCGACCGATTGAACCAAAGCAGGTGGGACGAATAAAAAACGTCCCACCGTATTCCACAAATCGATGATGTTCGGAAACCATCTGCTTGTGGACGGAGAGATGGACGAAAACAGGGTGCTTTCACCCTTGTCCTTCCAAGTGGTGCTCAGCCTCCTGGCCGCTGGCTCCGGCGGCTATACCCGCCGTCAGCTTCTCACCTTCTTCGACGCCGATTCCGTCGATCAGCTCAATCACTTCGCCTCCCGAATTTCCGAGGACATCATGGCCGATGGTGATCCCTCCGTCGGCCCTCGTATGCGTTGCTCCAATGGCTTGTGGCTTGACCAATCCCTTACTTTGAAGCCCTCTTTTAAACAGATTCTAGACTCTGATTATAGAGCCGCTCTGAACCCGGTGGACTTTCAGACCAAGGTAATGTTCCGTCATTTTTTAACTCAAAATCACAATATCTTTAATTAAATGAAATTAAAATTTTATATTACTCATAGCATCGTCGGGTTCTATTCCATGATGGTATTGACTCCCTGCCATATGTCAACTTCCTTGAGTTTCATGCCTAAAAGAAATCATCTCATTAATTCTTATATTAATTGATGCAGATATGTGCAGCCCGTTTATATTCTTCTTAAATGTATAATCAGCCTTTTTAATTTGTAAAAATTAGCATGAGTTCCCTGTTTCTTGCCGCAAGGCTTGAGGTGCTTGTTAGCTCGATTCACGAGTTTGAGAGAATACAAGGATTTCATGTGTCTCTTGGAGTATATTTTTTATTTTCTTATATATCCAGGATAAACAAGGAAATTAAGGTAATCAGGAACGACAACTTGTTCGCTTGAAGTGCTTCTGAAATGGCTATAATTTCTGCAGGCTCCTAATGTGAGGCAGCAAATTAATTCCTGGGTGGAAAATGAGACAAATGGCCTGGTTAAAGACCTTATCCGTGAGGGGTCTCTCAACAACTCAGTAAAACTCGTCTTTACAAATGCATTATACTTCAAAGGAGCATGGGATGAGGATGAAAGTCCACCCCTTCCAAGCACAGAGGATCGACGGAACGAAAACTTCACGAAGGTTCCCTTCATGATTGGGAAGAGGAGAGAATTTGGTAGATGGTACGACGGTTTTGAAAGGTTCTGCCAGGTACATAAAAAGCAAAGTGAAGATAGGCGCTGTTTCAGCATGGCTTTCTGTTATCCATTGACACACACTAATGATGGGTGTATAGCCCATGTTACTGAAACCGTAATGGATGTACGTGACCGCTCCACCCCAAAATTTAGCTGTTCTTCCGAGGTGGAAGCTTCTAGTATGCTGAGGGGACTACGGGTAACATTGCCATTCTCCGGAGGAAGGTGGAAAGAGATGTTAAATTCTTTTACTGGTCCAAAGTTATATGTTTTCAGCATATTGCAGAAGTCGTTCATGGAAACAAATGAACAAGGGACTGAAGCTGCTACAGCCACCACCGCAATATTAATGTCTGGGTGTCCTGCATGTTTGCCCCATGTACCTAAAATGAAGTTTATAGACCGCATCCCATTCCTCCTTTATGCTGGAAAAGATGAGTATGGAGGTATTCTCATGGCTAAAATAGATTTTTTCATTATGCAGGTGGTCAATCCTCTTCCAATATAGTGTTCCTATTATGTGTCATCATTATGAGTTGTAATTTAAATGTTTGACTCTCTTTAGTACTTTTTTTTTTTAATCGCACACTCTTATTCGATAATTTAGATGTTTGACTCTCCTTTGATACTTTATAAACTTCAAAATTTGGGAAGGGATGTGGGTTTATCTTAACCATTAAAATATGTTTTCTAATTTTGCTCTTAGTTATTGCTTCTCTCTCCTTTGCATATTCTTTCCTATCACAATTCGTCAATTCCCCACATATTCTCTTTCATTATTTTTCTCATTTATTGTAAGAACATATTTCAAAACAAAAGTATATTTTTAACTTATATATTATATTTAACTAATTTTAACTAATTATTCGATCTTAGTTATTTGAAATTTATAATAAATATTGAACATAGTATTTACAATAAGGAATAAACCAAATGACTCATTTTAGGTGAATGTGGAGCGCTTAAAATAAGCAGCACCAAACAAGCACAATATCAATGTGTTATATCATCAATATCATCATCAATTCATTCAATATTTAATATACTATGAATACCTCTTCCACCTAGCTAATACAAAAGCAGCTTATCCTTAGTTTAAGACACAAAATACTGTTCAGAAGCATGTAAGTATAAAGATATGTATTCCACCAGCTTGCAGTTAGCCGAAACTCATTAATTGCGTGCTTGTGGCTTGCTGCTCGGCTAATTTTCGGATTGTTAGCCTCAAAGATTCAGCACCGCAGAACATAGAATCAATAAGCACAGAAACATGAAGAAGGAGAAGAGGCCAAGCACTAAGAGAGAGATCTATATTTGCTTCCCTGCTCTAGGGCCGTTCTTGATCTCTCATATATAATGGAAAGGCAAAGTTTCATTCAAATTCAAAATCCAAATTGTTTAATTGAGCAGATCCCTCCGTCCCTCATCAAATTAAATAATATAAACTAAGACCCTAGAAGAAATTTCAGAGGGATTTGCCGGTTAGTTGCTCAGACAAAGAAGGCAAGGATGAGTTTCTTGATCTTTATACATTTGTTTTTAAAATTTTTATTAATTAAAAAATCTGAATTTGAGCTGCTAATTGTGTGTCACATATTTTCAATTCTATTCAAATGATTTCTATTTTAAATACTTTTATACATAATCAGAAGATAAATTTTATAGGACTGTGGAAAACACAGCCCTTTGCACTTTTAACAAAGAATCAAGCACATAAATGTTGAATGACTCTTCTTTCTTGTTTTTTTTTTTTTGGGCCTGAATACCAAATCACTGGTTTAATTGCCAACATCAACTTATTCTTTAATATTCACTTGGAGCTGTGATTGGAATTGTCTTAGGATTAGCTCTACACTCAAAACATTGTTCATAAGGATTTCCCAGCTTGATTACAAAACATGTGGCTTTGTGCAAGCCAAATTAGGTACATCCCCAAGCCTTGGGCTTAATGTTAGCCCATTTGTAGTGACATCGATTGCAGTTATATTTCAAATTTGAAATTAATGTGTGATCACCTTTGCATTTCTCAAAAATCCAAATTATTCAGACTCATAAGCTTCTTGAATCTTGATCAGCATAATTTTGACAACCACGTGTTATATTCAAAGGCCAAGGAAGTATATAGTTTGATTCTAACAAAAACTTTAATAATGAAAACTAAATATAAGTTAATTTTTTTTAATCAAATTAACAACACATCTAATTTTGCGCTACATAAGTATCTAAAAATAAAATCTCAAAGACTTCTTTCTTTACAACATCTGATTTTGAATTAGTTTGATTCTCTTTTAGATTAAAAATAAATATTTTTTTGATTGCGTAAAAATAAATATTTTTAAATCCCATCCATTCTGCATACAGGACTGAGTGTGATACAGACTTTCATGATCATGGCAAATTCCAACATAATACTATAAAATTATGGCCTTCTAATAATACTTGGTTTTTCTCATCTTTTATCTTATCAAAAGAAACCCACACATCCAGTATACTTATAAAAAATTGAACACGCAAACTCCTTATAATAATTATTGACATGCGTGTAAATGAAAGCTATGTCAGGTTCTTTTTGTCCTGAGTTGTCTGGCTAGGAATAAGCACAAAATGTTCCAAGAGTCCTCTGTGGATTTCATTACAAATTAAAAATTTCTCTTTCATACGATGCATGAATTGAAATATTTGATTAGATTTTAAATTCTAATAAATTACAGTATTTAATGTAGCTCAAGATTTACTTCTTATAGGAGTACTAACTCCGGTCCTAATTATAAGATCTTATTTATAGTCTACAAATGAGGTCTTATAATTAAAACTAGAGGGAGTATTATTTTTTTATTCATTCAAATGGGATTTGAATTAAGGACGCAGATCTAGGAGAACATATAACAATTTAAAATTATTTCTTTATTTCTTTATTTAAGCCCTTAATTGAGATACTATTTAATATGATGCTTCCCATTTAATTCAATATATTCAAATCCTAATTAAGATATTACTCAAATTTAAAATTAATTATTAATTTTTTTCATTTGAGTCTCTAATTAAAATCTCATTTAATAATGAGACTCCTCATTTAATTCAATATACCCAAATTCCAATTAAAATATTATTCAAATCTCATTTATTGAATATATTCAAATCTCATAATATCATATCTGATCCATTTTTAAATGAATTGGATATTACAAGTTTTCAAAGATGTAGTTGATTGATAGTTGATGACGAGTCTGTATATTTATTTATATAATTTTATTATTTTAATTATATATATTTGATTTTTTATGGAACTTTCTAGATTCTCAAGCTAATAGAGTTTGATAACATTTTAGAAATTGCAAATTCTCCCAAGCAGCCAGAGAGAGTTATCGTGTCTCTATGTATATAATTTTTGAAAATGATATGATAATATTAATATTATAAAATTCAATGGACATCGCGACATTCTGAATTGTCGTTTTACTGCCCAATAGGAGTGAGCCCAAAGAACCCAATAAGGAAGTTGGTCCGTAACAAAACCTTAAACAAACAAGAAAATAAAAAGAGACCAAATTTCTAATTTTACGGCCCTAGAGGGTACGTGGAATGAAAACAATCATTGCCCCCCCCTTAGTACTCTAAAACAACGCACCAAACTCGAAGACGGAAAAAACCTAGGAACAAGGGTTTGGGTTTGAACTGCTCTCCATCATGCGGCAAAATCTCCTTCATCCCAGGAGCCGGCTCTCCATCACTCAATGGCTGGAAAGGAGTTTACTTTCCTTCTGGCCAGTTTCGGTAAACCAAGCGGCTTCTTACTGCAGCAGAAGAGCAGGTCGGAAAAATCAGATGCCCTCTCCCATAGATCCATCCGCGATCTTCGGAAAGCATCTACTTATGGACGAAAAACTAGAAGAAAACAGGGTGCTTTCTCCTTTTTCCTTTCAACTGGTGCTCAGCCTCCTTGCCGCTGGCTCTGCCGGTTTCACCCGCCGTCAGCTTGTCAAGTTCTTCGGCGTTGATTCAGTCGGCCGGCTCAATCGCGACGCCTCCCAAATTTGCGGCCCCATCATGGCCGATGCCGCTGTCGGCCCTCGTATGCGTTGCTCCACTGGCTTGTGGCTTGACCAATCCCTTACTCTGAAGGCCTCTTTTAAGCAGATTCTAGACTCTCATTATAGAGCCGGTCTGAACCCAGCGGACTTTCAGGCCAAGGTAATGTTCCGTCACTTTTTAACCCCAAATCTAAAGTGTCTTTAATTAAATCAAATTTAAATTTTATAATTTGTGCAGGCTGTTGATGGGAGGCAACAAATGAATTCCTGGGTGGAAATGAGACAAGTGGCCTGGTTAAAGACCTTATACGTGAGGGGTCTCTCAACAGCTCAGTGAAGCTCGTCTTTACAAATGCACTATACTTTAAAGGAGCATGGCGTGGGGAATCACTTCCATGCCTTTTAAGCAATAGCCAAGAGGAGCAAGAAGACTTTGATTTAGATCCCTTCTCGGCTGCCATGAGCAAGGAAGAATTTGGTAGATGGCACAGGGGTTACACAATGCTTATTCAACAATTTAAAAAGCCTAGGAAAGACGAGCGCGATGCCGAAATGTATTTCTGTTTCCCAGGGATAGACGCTGAAGATGGGCGAAGAAGCCTTGTTCGTGAAACCTTAATGGATGCAGGCGGGCACACGACCCCAAAACTAAATATTACTTCCGAGATGGAAGCTTGTGATGCGCTGAGGGGACTGGGGGTGACATTGCCATTTTCTGGAGGGAAGTTGACGGAGATGTTAAGTCGTTTTAATGGTCGGAAGTTATATGTTTTGAGCATATTTCAGAAGTCAGTGCTTGAAATGAATGAACAAGAGACTGAAGCTGCATCAGCCAGCACCGTGATTGTAACGTCTGGTTGCCCACCATCTTTGCCGCCGGTACCTACAATACGCGCGGAACCTGGATACCCCTTCTTCTTTCATGGAGGTCTTCTCGCCGCTAAAACAGACTCGGCGTTTATGGCATTATGTCCTTAGTAATCATTATGTCATGAGTTGTTGTTTAAAAATTTGACTGTCCTTAGCATTTGTTATTTTTATTTCAATTTCTCAGATGGAGGAAGGATCTTGTCACCTGCTCTATATTTGGCCTACAGATGCGGTGTGTGTGTGTGTGTAGATACACACACCTATATTGAAATAATAAGGGCACAGTCAATCAAAACCATACGATTACAAATAAGTAAGGATAAATCCAGACAAAAAGATCCCTACTTTGAAGGGGTGGATCGTTGAGGATTCTGCCATCAACTCTCTCTTGCTCCGCCCGATGAGCAAAATATTTTTTTCAGTGAAAACTGGAAATCTAACATTAAACAAAACAGAATTACAGCAAAGACAAACTGTTCTCTTTATCAATTTCCACCTCTACATTTAAGGGTAGTTATTAATCAAAGAGGAACCAAGAATTATCAATCAAGTTTCAGCCATCAACAATCAACTATTAATCAATCAATTAATTATGTTCTTGAAAACTTGTAATATCCAATTCATTTAAAAATTAGTCATGTATGATATTATAGGATCCAAATATATTTAATTAATGAGATTTGAATATCATCTTGATTAGGATTTGAATATATTGAATTAAATGAGATTTCAATTGGAGCTTAAATAAAGAAATTAATAATTAATTTTGAATTTGAATAATATCTTAATTGGAATTTGAATATATTGAATTAAATAGGGAGCATCATAATTAAATAATATGTTAATTAGATGATTAAATGGAGAAATAAATAAATAATTTCAAATTTTCATCTATTTTTCCTGAATTCTGCATCTCTAATTTAAATCCATTTGAATAAATAAAAAACTATATTTCTATAAGAAGTGAATCTTGAGCCACCTTAAATAATATAATTTATTATTAGAATTTTAAATCCAATCAAATATGTTAATCCGTGCATTGCATGGAGAAAAAATTTCTGATTATCTAACATATCAACTAATTTAGCTAGCATATCCATTGTGCTAATATTACTCTTGCTAATATGGCACAACCCTCTCAAAATTACATTTACAGCATCAATGCAATCACAATATAGAGCTATAGTCCTAGAGCCTTTGGTCCTACAAAGATTTAGACCATGCAGAATTCCAAGAAGCTCGGCCAAACAAAATATTATATTTCATTTTTATTTTCAAACAAAATATTATTATATTTTTAACTTCTCTCAAAAAATGCTTTAAAAAGAATTGTTACATTAATTGAAAAAATTAACAACACATTTCAATATATTTTTATACGAATGCCATTCTTACCATACATAAATTGATAATATCCATATTTTTCTATCCTATTGAAATTTTTGGTCCTTTACCTAAGCACTTCTTCCCACCTCTTCAACCCCGCAAAGGATGTCAAGTCACACTTTGTTACTTGAAAATCATCAGTCTTGTGAGAATTAGATCAAGGAAAATGTGAGAGGGGCACGTCCTGGCATTATGCTAAGTTGCTAACATTAACCCAAATTAAATGAAACAATGTCATGTAAATTATAAACTCAAACAATATATTTATTGTTCTACTCTGAAACTTATTAAATCCCTGTTTAAAGTTATGGCAGTTTAAATTTGTGCTCTATATGTGTAATGGAATGTTTGTGCCCCAGAATATGAGTATTTCACCAACATAATCAATATTCTTATCAGTTAATTAAATCTCCGCTTACTTTTTGCTTCTTCTTTTTATTTTTATTTTTTAAATAAGCAAACATCAATTTCAATATCCTCATCTCATTTATCTCCCTTTATACTATGGTTATTCCTTTAAAACTGAATATTTGCCGTATTATATTATAGCATTGTTGGTTTTATAGTAGTATGATAAAAACTACCCAGGTACAAATTTTTGACAATAATGATTAAATTAAATTAAAATATGTATTTTAGGATATTATGGGAATATAATAATTTATAATTAATCATGTTATAAAAAGTCATAGTATGCATAGGTTATTAAGGGTCTGTTTAGATTGGTGATGAAAAAAGTAACTTATCTTCAATTTAACTTTTAAAAAAATTAGATTCGATAATCTGATTTTCATTTGAATCGTCCTTTGTAAATAAGTCAATTTGTAAAAATGGAGTTGTTTGGATTATTATTGAAGAAGTAAATTTAATTGTAAAATAATAAAAAAGGACATGAATTATATTAAATAATATATATAATTTATTTCATCTCATCTGCTGTACTCTCTCTTTACATTTTTTCATACATTTTTTTAATCCTTTTTCTAGTTTATTATAAGGCATGCACATTTCATCTTATTTATAAGATACTTTTAACATATTTTACACATATCAAAAAAATCTTAAACTATATTAATTCTTCTTTAAAATATAACAATTTTTAACATTATCCCTTTTTAATATATACACTTCAAAATAATCATTTATACTATAAAAATGAAGAATAAAATAGTATATTCATAAAAATTTAAAGAGTTGACTTATAAATAAGACCGAAAAAAACCGTCTCTTTCAGACTTACAAATAAAACCAGAGGAATATTTGAAATCAAAAGTATATTTGTAACCTATTTATTACTTTGAATTAATTTTAACTAATTTTTTATTATCTATAAATTAGTTATTTAAAACTTAGTATAAAAATTATTTAAAGGAGGAACGCAAGTCTTTTTTAATTTCTCTCCACCTTTTAATACTCCTCACCAACTCTAACTTTTTCTCTCTTCACAATTGAAAAGCATAATTAATAAATTTTTTGCTTACGATTTACGCTGCCTTTTGATGAAAAATCACGATGTCCTCATTGCTAAAACAAACAACCCAATTTTATCAGTTGCCCGGTTTGTTATTTACATAGTACGATTACCCCAAAGCCGTGAAAAACAGGCCCTATATTTGAAATTTTGATCTTATCAATGGCATAAGAGTAAATTTTTTTATTTTGACACTGCAAAATCTATTTCAAGAATTAAAACCCTAAAAAAAAAAATTTTATCGTCAAACAGCTTAATTCAAGTGGGAAAAAAATAAATAATTATTAAAAGTATTTAATACCTCAGAAAATTTGAAGAAAATTATGAGATATTATTTTGAGTATTTATAAAATTACAAAAAAAAATTATTTCTTTTAAAAATGGCTTAAATTATTTTAAGGGTAATTTTTTGAGTTAAAAGAGTCATTTTCTTGTAAAATTCAAGAAAAAATAATTAGGGGTTAATTTTAACCTGATGGATGATGTAGAAAATCTAATGGATAAGGAAAATCCATATAAAATATTAAGAATTTATTTTTGAATTTATTTTATAATTTCAGAAAATAGAGGAGAATGAAAGGAAAACAAACAAAATGAAGGGCACAAAATGAAGTTCATACACACCACACGTGTCTCAGTCTCACCGTCAAGAAAATCTTCTGAATGCTTCTCTACCACGGGATCATACTTTTCGATTGGCCATGGGAGGGTGGGAGGCAGAAATGGTCGAGGTGAACCAAGAGGAAGAAGAAACTTTCAGGTGCTCTGAGGTGCAAAATTCCTATCTCCTTCATTCTCCAGCTCTATCGCTCCTCTCCGTAAATCGCTGGTCTCCTTGCCGTCGTGGTGTGTGTCACGAGCTGCTGCTATCATCTTCCTCCTCTGCTCCTCCTCTGCTCAAGATTTCGAATTGCCGCTTCTTTTCCTCCTCTGTTCGGCGTTCTTTGAATTTGCTATCATCTTCTTACTCCATAAGCTTATTTCTTTGAACTTGCTTCTTCAATTTGGCCTTCGTCTAAATTATTCGTTGATTATGGATGTGCTGTAATGAATATTCTTTTCCTCTTCCCTTCGTTGCTGCAAGTGTATTTTTGGGAAAGCTCAAACTCCTCTATTTCCTAAGATAATGTTGCTGTGTAGACTGAAGTTTCCTCTCTGTTCTGAATGGGTGACGTTAAATGTGTTTTTCTAATTTCTTTAGTATGTATGATGATGTTTGATAAAGTGTTTTCTAGGGCAGTTAAATTAAAATGTACAATTAGAGAGGATTAAAGTATCGTAATACCAGTTTTGGATTTGAGATAATCTTGTGCCCACTTGTTGTTTGACGGAATGTTTGATAGAGAAGAGATTTAATTGAAAGTAATTTTTTTTTTAAAACTATGTTGATGGTGAGAAAGAACTGAGGTTCTATTATATGTGATTGTGATGCAAATCTTGGGTAACGGTAAAATTTGGAAGTTCTGTAATCCTGAACAAAAGACTTGCAGCAACCAGTTTTAGTTAAATGATTGCAGCCTTATATATAATGCCATGCATTATCAAGTTCAAAAGAAAAAACATGCAATCCAGAGAGAGCCAGCACAAAAATATTGCTTTGGCAATAGCAAGGAATTACAACTGAAACATAAATCTAGTTCCTTCCATTTACGTGTGTGCGAGCTGCATCAAAGAAGTTTTCAGCACTTATAAGCAAACGAAGAAGGACGCCAGCGGTATAATAGGAAAACAGAAAACTCAAATTTTGATATACCTAAGACTGAAAGATGATGGGCGAATCTTTGGCAAGATCAGCAGCATTCTAAGTCCTACATAGAGTTAAAAAAAAAAAAAACTTCAAATTGCAATCTCTGAAAAGATTGTTCCAACCTCGATCACTGTTTGCACCATACGTCATTTTCCAATCGATGAGTTTCTTCCACCTTGGAAGAGAATGTTGTGGCCATGGGAGAAGCAATTCTTGCAAAGAGAACAAAGAGCAATCAATATATCAATATCAATATATCTATACAAACTCTTCCACCAAGCCATATTTAAAAATGGCTTAGGACTGGCTTTAGACTCAGATTACTGTTCGCAAGCCATATTAATAAAAAAAATCTTTTTCCTTTGGTTTCGTATTAGCTGATTCGGAATTAAATGTAATAGAATGTATTGGGCTGTGCATTGGCCTTTTTTTTTTTTCAAATGTATTGTAGTTGAGGCCTCTCATAAAAGGCACCATATGGCTTAAAACTTTGGGTTACATGAT